GCAATAATTTAACCAAAGTTCTTTAATTTAAAAAACAATAAGAAAGAAAAAAAAAAAAAAAGGCAAAAACAACCATTTGAACAATCCACTTCGCCGTCATCTCCGCCGCCGGCGTCGTAAATGAGATCTAAGAAACTCGTAACCCTAATTACATCCCACAAATATCTCCCTATTCAACAATTCAAGCCAAGCATTCTTCACATACCAGATTTTGTTCCTTTTTTTTAAAAAAAGCAGCAACAGCAACTTCAACAATTTGAATAATAAATTAAACTTTTCAATACCAAATTGGAGTAAAACAGCGCAGGAAAGAGCTTTGTCGAACAACAAACCCTAGAAATCAACAAATTGAGCTGCTGGGACTGAAATTGGGGATGCCTAATTCGCAGCCATATGCAAACTTTGCAATCACACGACGAACAGAGGATTAATTGGTAAGGACCCCGACGTTGGAAGAGTGGAATCGGAAGCAGGGAAAATCACAGCTATATAAATAATAAATTTATATATATTCTTCTTTATCTGGCAAGAAAATATATGAAAACAATGGCATCGAAGCGGGTGACTTCAATTTTTATTTTTTTCCTACCCAAGAGTAATGGCGCCGAATTCGGTGCCGTAATTTACTCTTTATTTTTTTAAGATAAATAAAATGGCTTCGTATTCTGTGCCTCCTTTTCTATTTTTTCGTTTCTGAAATTAAGCACAAATAGGATTCTGTGTGAATAATTTTTATATTTAGAAATATAGTCTATGGTAATGGCGCTACCAACTGCGCTCCCTTTTCTATTTTTATGCATAATTTTATAATCATGATGCGAACGACTACTTTAAAAAAAAGGTAAATTAGAGTAATTTTTAAAAATAGTTTGAAAAAATAAATAAATAAATAAAATAATTGTTAACAAAAAATATAAAAATAAGACAACTATATTAAAAAGAAAGGAGTATAATTTTATACTAAAACTACCTCCAGCTGTGCCGCCTCCACCTGGGGGCAGACAACATACCAAGAAGTCTCCCCCGCTGGACCAACCGTACAAGAAGGGTACGGACCTCCACAACATAGCTCCTTGATACAATTCGATAACTTTATTCCGCCATCGGGGGCTCCTCCGCGAGTACCAGCCGAGGGGAATCGAGTACGTCCACCTTCAGCTCACCCTCCACAAGGACATCAACAATACTTTCCTCGTGCCCAGCTAGGTCCTGGACAACCCGGAGGACATATCGATATTGCTCCCCTACCACGACCAATTGTCAATCCGCAAGCTATCGAGGAATCCGTTCGCAGGCTGTATGGCAATCCGATCTAGTTGCCCGCTAGGCTGCATTATCAACAGCCATTCCAAGATCAAGTCGTCATCGACCATTCACTCCCTCGAAACACACAAATTTTGGAGTTCACATTGTTATTGGGAGAAGATTCACGCTCTACCATCGAGTATATCAACTGGCTCACGACACAATGCAGAGAGGAATTCAAGAACAACGAGTGGTTCAAGCTTCAACTATTTTTATTGTCCCTCACTGGGCCGGCATTCACACGGTACACATCTTTGCCACCAAATTCATTCCACACATGAACGGATCTCGAGAGGGAATTTCATTAACGTTTTTATAGTCCATTGTCAGAAATGACGGTATGAGATTCTATTAACTTACGACAAAAACAAAACGAACTAGTGGAACATTTTTTGGAACGAATTTGTAGAGCGGAGGGACGATGTCAGGTCCGTATTCTCGAAATCCAAGTTGTCCACATGGATATTGACAATATTATGCACCAGCTCCGAGAAAAGCTAGCCTTCCAAGAATACAATGATCTTCGGCAACTAACTGGAAAAGCAGTGAAGTCGGAACAGCTCCTCCGAGATGCCCAGGCTGCCAAAAATCAAAAGTTTAAAAATAGAGCACACCTTGTCCGGGTTCAGGAAGAGGAGTCGCACTATTAGGATGACCCGAATGAGACGTTTTCGGTCGAGATCTTAAAAGGGAAAGCATACACTTTCCCAACATTGAAAATACCTAAGAGGAAGGAAGTAAATCCTAAAGTACAATATACATTTGATATTTCTAAGACCGAACAAATTTTTGATTTTTTTAAGGACAATTAGGTTCGGTCCAAAGAGGACCATAAGATGCCATCCAAAGAGGAATTGAACAGAAAGAATTATTGTAAGTGGCACGGTCTTTACAGACATCAAGTCGGGAGCTGTATTGCTTTCAGAAATGCAGTGCAAAAGGCTATCAAGGAAGGCCACCTACGGCTGGCCAACAAGCTAGAGATAAAGATTGATACGGAACCATTTCCGGCTCCAATCAATGTTATCGGCGTCTAACCCATTAGACATAACCGATCAACCCCAGGTGGTGGATGTAACCAAGGAGATTCGCCCCAAAAAGAAACATATTTGAGCGGCTTGGAAGGACCATAAAACCCCTATGGAGAAACTCGGTGTGGGATCGACTCTCTCCACACAATACCGTTGCCGAAGTTAGATTTGAGAAAAATGGCGGGGTGTGGCGAGTAACTTCAGTTGACAAGTGGTGATAACCCCTCACGGCATGCAACGGCCGAAACATCCCTCAGAGGATGAGAGCAGGACCAAAAACCAAAAAGTGATGAATCGGCCCCTTACTAGGACTCAATGGCGGAGACGGCAGCATCAGCTCCGGGCAGCACGCCTTTTCTCGGAGGAACATGGGCAGCAATGCAGACTACCCCAAGAAGGTCGAGGGCAGATTGTTATTACTGAAGATGTGCCAAATATGGAAGAATTACCCCATCGGAGGAGAAGGTGACAAGAATGGAGACTGAAACAGACTATCCCGGAGGACCGAGGCAATTTGGAGCAGCAGGCTCCCCCGAAGGTACCAGTAGCACCTATTTCGGAGGACGAGCCGGTCTTTGAAGCATTAAAAGACGATAAGACATCACTTGCAAGTCTGGACATCATCGCGAATGACCAAGACTTAGAACGGGCGTTACACTACGAAAAGGATTTCATGTAAAACTATTTGCTTCTTGCCCAATGAGTTCGTAGAGACTTGGCTGGAATGCAATGAAAGGATTCAAAATCCACACGGAGGCCGATGCACGGCCTGCTTGCCAATTTGTTTGCAATGAATAAGAATCGGGAAGTGATACTGTACCTTGAGGGACGAATTCAAGAAACATACGGTGCCACCAGAGGACCCGAATATGTCCCAGTGCGTACTATTCCTTATGTCCGTCGCCTTCCCCGGAGATTAGAACGAAAGAGTTTTCCTCTTTCATCCCGAGGACTAACCCATCATTTGAGGCTCAGGATCCTGTCGAAGAAATCAACATTGGTGACGATTTAGCCCCTTGGATGACGTAGATCAGTTTGTTGCTACTCCCGGATGATGCGGATCAGCTCATAGTTACCTCCGAAATAGAAACAACGATTGAAGGCTTTCGTCCAAGAATACCAGGGCCACTTTGCATGGGATTACCATGAGATACCGGCCTTATCCAAGAGTTTGGTGGAATATCGGCTACGAAATCTCATACAAAAATATTGGGCTTCAAAGTTCAACAAAGTTTTTGCCAAAATATTTTTCTGGGGGGCATTTGTTACTCTTAAATATTTCGGGCCTTCGGAGGTGCTTAGCAGTCCAGCTCAGAGAAGTGGATGGGTCGGCCCAAGCAGTCCCGCTACAATCCAAATTTGTATATGGATAAGAGCAAGCGTAATTGGGATGACTGAGATAATGGAGGAGTGAGTCAAAGTTTCCTAAAGAAATGAGAAATTTGAAAAGAAGGATGATAGAATCATGAACTAGGCAAACAATGGATGAGTAATTGTCTTAATTCATGAGATATATATATCACCTAGATGAAGATGATGAAAACACTCATCCGTCCAACACTCAAATAATTTCTTTTTCTTTCTTTTTGCTTTCATTTTATTCATGTTTGTTAGATTAAATTTATGTTTTATTTTTTTGACCTAAGCAATTTTCATTCCTATTTTTCAATTCAGTTTTCTACTATTCATTTAATTTGCCTTTCATCTACTTTGTTTCTCATATTATAATATTTTTCAATTCGATTCGCACCGTATTCAGTCCATCATCGGACCATCGTTCTACGAATGTTTTTGTTCAGAGGTGTTGTGATTTAATATCCGACTGCGAGATTAACCGGGATCCTTTCATGAGCATGCTGAGGAATCTAATTCAGGTCGATCTCGACTGGTCTAATCCATAGGGCCTTTATTGATGAATTTTAGCGATAACAAATTCAAAGCCCTGCATGGAAGATTTGCGAATCCCTGCGAATCCTTATTGCTTATATTAAAACTTTCCAAAGTACACCTCATAGGATCCTTGAGAGAAATAAATTGAACAAATATGGTCACTTGTTTCACAAGAGTTCGAGGCAAGACTAGAAAAAAAGTTTTCCAGCAAACAAAATTAATCAAATATAATTTGGAAGTAAAGATTGCTTGGCATATCTCTTCTGACTTATGACGTTTTGTTAATACACCCACTCACTCATACACACATACATCTATATTTATTTGAGGATACAATTAGCCCAACACACACATAGCATATATATCTATATCTATATATATATATAATCAATCTATTCCATTCACCACTCAGCTGCGCTTCTAATCATTATTCACTATCTGGGAATAAAGTAAAACCCTAGCCCTGCAAAAGAAAAAGTGAAAAATATTAACACATAATATGAATTCGTGATTTATGAAAAATCCCAGTAATTCATGCCAATTTGATGTCATGAATCTCTATTATATATACGCAATGGATAGTAAAAAGTTGAATTTAAATAATTGTTTGATGTGATATAAATAGTTATTGATGTGATATTTTGAATGTAAAATAAATTTGTAGTATAATATAAAAAAAAAGTAATTGTTTGATTTGATTTTTCTTTTAGGAATAAAAGAATCTGAATAGTAAAAACCTATGGTAAAATTCACAAAATAACACAACCAAGGATCTTACGGTGTGTAGTCGATTTTGATTATCCCGGCGACAGGGTTGGCAATAGTGGCAAAAGCTTCGTTGGAAAGATCTAGGGTTCCACCACAGCCCGGACAGTGATCCACAATTCTCACAACTACACTTTTCCCAGTGCACGGATGAGGGACCGGATTTGTCGGCCCAGTACATGTTACCTTAAATGTCTTACCGCATATTGCTCCGTTTTCCCACAATGGATCACTTGCTGCAGCTATCATCACTCCTTCGCCTTCGCTGCCATAACATGCTGAAGCTGAAATAAAATGTGCAATTCCAATGATTCATTCTAATATGTATGTATATATACTCTAAATTATACATGTGGAGAATATATCTGTACACTTACGAACATAATTTGTATAGAAAGTGGCAGTTCCTGGTGTGGCCAAAGCTCCAGATAATGCACTTATCAAAATGGCCAAAATAAAATTGAGGCACATTTCCATGCTCATGGTTGCTGCTAAATATTAGTCGATTTAATTTAATTTGAATATTGATGTGGTACGATATCACCTAAAACTACATATTTATATGCAAATTTGGATAAGAATTTCGTCATATTAATTACTGAGGATTAATGTTTTTCCACTTATGGATAGTCCCATTTGGTTATTACTTATTAGCATTCCAAAAATGTCTTACAGAGTGATGAACTCTAAAATAATTAACCCACTATATATTAAAATTAACTAATCAGATATATAGATACCCTGTTGGTTGGTACGTTTAAGTAAAATTCTTTTACTTCTTTCGTATTTCCTTCTTAACCATACGTCAGTAATTACTCACTGAATTCATACATGATGCCCATTTAGGTTGCCTTTTCAAAAAACACAAAAAATAAAATAATAATAAAAAAATAAAATAACACAAATCAAAACAAGCGAAACACCCAAAAAAAAAAAAAATTAATTGTGTCGTTTTGTTCTTTTAAGAGTTCAAATTCAAATCAATACTATTATCCTGCACAATTTTTAATATATATATGTTTTTACAAATATCACATTAAAATACTATTTAAACAAAAATTAAAATCTAACACTAATTTCAAATAAATGTTGTATTTGGATCAATTTATGTAAAAGCATTAAAAAAAAAAAAAAAATCTGACAACAAACACAAATATTTGGGATTTGTTTGGTTTTTATTTGAAATTGAAAATTTTGATTTAGATAACATTTGAAGTAATATTTTGTGAGAAAAATAATACTCCCTCGGTCTTGGAACTAAATATCCATTTGCTTTTTGCACGTAGTTTTAGAAATATTAGTATTTTATTGGGATATAGTAAGAATAAAGTAGAAATGACTAAAATAACCTTATTTGTATGTGTAATATAAAGGTAATGTCATTTGTGTAATATATTGGAAGTTGTAAGGGTATTTGTAATGTTAGGTATATAGTACAATTACTAAAAAAGGAAATTGATACTTTGTTATGACACGGACTAAAATAGAAAAATTGATACTTTGTTATGGGACGGAGGGAGTACATATTTTATTGAGAAAAATACATATTAAATAATGGTGATTTAAATTTAAAATGGTAAAAAAAAAAACCCCTAAATCCATATTAAAGTTCTTTTAAACTTTCGTAATTATATATAAAAAAAACAGATGTATTGTTATATTGCTAAATTAAAGTTCTTTTAAATATATATTTAATATTCTTCTAATCCTTTATAATTTATTTTAAACTTATAATTATTATTTTCTAAATAATCTAGTATAATTAATGATATATGTACAATAAGTTCATTCCAATTTTTTTTTTTAATGTTAGTTGCATTTGATTATTGTGCTAAGAAAAGAACAAAGTAAAGAATTATGCAAAAAATTCATATTATTGCTTCTTTTTAGGGATGTTCATGCCTATATTACAAACCAAAAGAGGAGAGAGAAAGTTTGATTAAAGCTAAGGGATATATTTTAAAATTTTGCATCAAAGAAAAATTTGTGGAAAAAAAAACGAAAAATATTCAAAGCCCAATCCATGGCTGCATTTTTTTCATCAAGAAGACGCGCGGACGGCTAGAGAAGGAAAGATGACAACATTTTCTTTGTCATCTTCTCTAAAGTAAAATTTTATTACTTTCAATTCCCACTTATGTTTAGTAGCTAAGTTTTTTTTTTTTACTTTAAATGTGGATTGACATTTCGAATTATGGATTTATGAGATAGTTTTAATTTTAATTGAGTGTTGTAATAATTAATATTTATGTTATTTCCGCACATCGTGTCTACATTCATTAGATAATTTTATTTTATTTTATTTATTTTTTGTTTTTTTTATCGTGGTCATGTTTTAAGTCGATCTATCAATTGTGTGCTAATTGAATAAAAATATCGGTAATTGTTTATATATTTGATAAAGTAGTAAATAGGTTAAAGAACTTAGTCTAAAAATTGCATGATCGAATAGAAAATCTTTCATAATTTAAATATTTGAATTGAATTTTTTCCGGCACTATTTTTAATTGGAGAATTTTTACTACGATCGTACCTAATTAATTCTTTCGATTAGGGCGTGGTTAATCGGTCATATAGTTGGCATCCACAATGTTAGAAAAAATGAGGTGTTTGATTGTATTGAATGTCTATAATCAATTTATCAATTGAATGATTAAATTATTTACTTGGATGATCAAATCTATCTATTACTTGATTTTCATTAAATCCTTGGACTATGAATGAATTTTTAATTCTTCATAAATATAGATTATTTCCTTTTCTAATTGTTAAATTTTTGTTTGGTATATTTGAGTTTTTTGAAGATATTTATTTTAACTTTACTCATCTTGTTTCTAAACTTCTTAATTTTTACAACTAAATAATCAACTAAAGAAACATAATCTCAGTTCATGTGAATTCAATCTTATTTTTATTATTCTATAATTGAGTAAGAACATGTAAATAGTTTAAATGAGAGTTCACAACTATAATTTATAATTATATTTTCAAATTTAATATGTCAATTATATGTTAAAGTTATAGTTTTAGTATAATATATAAATCATAATTAAAATAAAATAGAATTTTATATTAATTTTACGAAATATATTTTGAAAAACCAGCATAATAAATGAATAAATCGTGCATTGATATATGAAAATAAAGTCTCGATGATAGCAAGATAGTATCAATGGTGGTGGGAGTAATAATAGACAAGTAGTGGGATTGCATTACATAAGTTTTTGGCAAAACTGCCTATATCCCCACGTGCATTGGAAATACGACGCCATTTTCCATGTACTTTAGAAACTGCAAAGTACTTCTTTGTGTTTTCAGAAACCTTGCACACTCTCCCAATTGATCAATTTGACCTCACGATATTAAATTTTTTATCTAATGTACCATTATACCCTTCACTTCAATAATTAACTTAACCTTCCTCCATCATCTCTCTCTTATCTCTCTCCACCGACATCTTTCCCTACCACCCCCCCCACTTGACGTTCTTCCCCTCTACAAGAAAATCGATTCCAGGTCCGACCACTAATCTGATAGTGGCATTCTCTTCTATCCAAACGCACAACCTCGATTTCAGGCAAGTCAACTGGCATCCAACCACCATTCGCCATTCCTTATTTTCTAATCGAAGAGGGTAGCGACGAACCCAAATACTTGTAAGTCATTTGTTTCGACTTGTGTGTTATCCTCTCTCCATTGTCGATGCGTTGCCGCTCTTTTATATTTTTTCACCAGTCATGGCTTTTTGGCGTTTCATACTTTTTTCATAGATTAGGGCAATTCCGCGTTGAGAAGTTTCTCGATTTATCATAGAAGTGGAATTTGGGGTTCAACTTGTGCATTTGTTGTGCCTTTTATACATGTTCAATAATGATGTCCAAAAACCCTTTAAATGACTTCATCCAATTACAAAATGAATTTGTAATGATAATTGAACTTTTATTTTTGTCTGATTGTTGTTGGGTAATGTACCATGGTGGGGTGGACCACCTTTGCTTCATTTTGTATTGTTTATTTATGTCAGTCAATAAGTTAGTCGATTATTGAAGTATAATTTGTGTTGCCCCACGTGCAGGTTTTTTTTGTTGCCAACCAATGGATGAAGACTGCTACATTCACATTTACATGTTAGTGGGTGGATATTTTGAAGTAGAAAGCCCAAGCCATCCATTTGTAGGTTGTCAAAAATATTGTTTAAAAATATCGACAAAGACAAGATTTATTATGGGACCCTGATGGATATGTATGGACATGCTGGTGGGAAACGTCTTGAGGTTCGCATGTATCACACATTGAAGGGGGTCCCTTGTGGATTCAACTCCACATTTATCTTCTGTATAAAGACCAATGATGATGTCTTGGAAATGTTTCGCGAGCATTATGGAGAGAAACATATACATGTATACGTAGAAGACATTGGCATGCCCATGATGGAATTTATGCATTATGGCTACACGGAATATGTTTACGCAACCTGCTATTGTCGGCAGGTTAAAATGATGGCTTCGACGAACTGCTTCTTCGAGTATACACTTGCTTAGCATAAATTTGATTTGGTCAAGTGATAATAGCAGGGAATGTTATTAGTATTTGAGGGGGATGTTTACTGATGTAAATAATTTGGGGGGAATGTTGTTCTTCGGGAGAAAACATCTACTACTTCAACAAGAAGCTTCCAAATTTAGTCTACAACTTGACAATAATTCGAAGAGAATGGTTACTAGTATAACATAAATACGCATCAACTACATCAACCCAAAAATTTGCCATTCAACCATGACGCAATGAACGCAAATCTTGCATAAAGGATACCAACCGAAACCTATCCAAGGCACACAATATCTAAAATACCGAAATACCAATGAGCGGCATTGCATGTAGACAACAAGCCAAACCCACACTACTACCTTATGGTTTATATACGCCCCCGCCTACACCCGACACACCTTGGGTAGATTCGAGTTTGGACTTTGTTTTGGGGCTACCATGTACAAAGGGAGGTAAAGCTCTATCATGGTTGTCGTTGATAGGTAAATATCCCACTTTATTCTATGCAATAAGATGAATGATGCAATGCATATTGCTAATTTTTTTTTCAAAAAAGTAGTTTGAATGCATGAAATTCTCGTAAGATTGCATTTAGTAGGAACACTAAATTCTTGAGGTTTTTTTTGAAAAAAATTTTAGAAAAAGTTGGAGACAAAACTTCTCTTTTCTATTTTATATAAGCCACAAACAGATGGTCAAACTGAAGTAACGAACCGCACCCTAGGCACCCTCCTTACGTGTGTTGTCAAAAAGAATTTGCGCAGATGGAAAAATTGTCTTCCTCATCTTAAGCTTGCATATAATCATGCTATTCATAATGCTACTAACATCCCTCTTTTTGAAGTAGTGTACAACTTCAATCCTCTTTCTTCGGCTGACCTATTGCCACAACCATGTAGTGAGCAAAAAAATGTTAATTTCAGGGATCGGGCATA